GTCCCTTTCAAGCTGAATGTCCTGCATGTTTGTCATATATATATATATATAACTTCCCAGACAAAGATATGTCAAGTCCAATGGCACTTGTGGAAGATAAGTTTCCTCTACAACACAGTGGTTTTGGGGATCCATGTGCTCAGCAGCGTGACAGCGGCTGCTCGGCCTTAGAATGAACCCTTTCGCAAACGAACATCGCCGGTCTTGTTGGTTTTGGAGACCAAGCTCCTCTTCCTACGGATACAAACATGGGATACGCCGCACATTCCTCATGAATGCTTCAAACAGTGAGAGTGTTACCAAAAGTACATGGTTTTTATATATTCGATAATAGTACCATAATAGATATTATATATTGTTTTATATACACACGTACTATGAGACATTGTGAAGCTTCATCGATACTTCCCAAAACTTCAAAAGATCAACCAGTCCTGGCAGGCAGCTTTCTTTCAGAACTTCACTTCCAAACTCCAAGGACGGACAATGGACGGACGGCACAGGGATGTCCAACTGTTGGCCCCCGTTGGCACGGCTCGTTTCATCATTCGCTACGTAGATGTTTTCAGCGCGGGTTCTTTGAGCAACCACCTGCTTGGTCATGATCTATGACCTGAAAAGACCGATCTTCCCATCCGAACGACGGCCATTCTCGGCAAAGAGAAGCGCAAAGAGAGAGTGACTCCGCCTGTGTCGGTGGTCACAATGAGCGGAACCTCCTTGAAATATTCGCAGCAATAAACGGCCTCTTCAGGCGGCGCCGATGGATATATACAATAAAAAAAAATATATATATTATATATATAAGCTTTGTGTGAATGTCCATGATGGGTTTCTTCTCAGCTCCCTCTCTCTCTCTCCCAAAACGCACACAAGACAAGCGCAAAACAAGCAAGCTCTGCAATGCAACCCGCAAAAGCTATCCAACTGGTCTTGGAGTGCTCATCCATCCCAGCAAGTCTACTAGATTCTACAATTTCCTCTCATGCCCAACCGGGTCTTTGTTCGGATTCCGCTGTGCACCTGGGAGTGATTCACGGAGCACTGCGACGTGTCAGCGATGCCCTTGGCAAAGTCCGTGCTGTACCAGCTCACGTCGCCGTCCTCCGAGGTGATGACAATCATCTCCCGGTAGTCCGTGGCGAACCTCGTCCGAAGAGGACCGGGTCTGGAACGGGGCGCGCGGAACAGATTGGAGGGAAAACATCTCTTCAAACTGATGCTTGGATGGTGCATTTACTGAGTTTGCAGGACGAAGTAGCTGAAACAACATATGAAAGACAACTAATGACCAGGCTTATCAGGCACACTTGTCTTTCTTCAAGGGACATCATTTCTAGACTCTCTGGTGAATGGACGACATGCATTTGCTCTCCGTACATTTAATGTATATCAAAAACAGTCCGACTTCTTGGCTTCTTGGAGTTCACACCTCCAAAAAGCCGTGCTCGCTGGCGCCGTCCTGGTCCCCCCGCCCGGCCTCAAAATGGGTCCAGAGGCGCCCAACTGAGCCGGGAGCCGACCGATGAGGCCCGCTCGGTGGAGACTCGAAGAGTGACGCGTGAAATGGAGACCCGAGGTGGATTGAAGGAGGCTTTTGGTATTTGGTTCGGCCCAAGCATCCTTGATCGATCATGCTGGTGTCTAAATAAACAGGCTTCTCAACAAACGTTTCTGAACAGCGTGGACTCAAACAAACAATAGGTTAAAGCGACGCATCTGCAAATGTAACCAACGCATAACTCACGCATAACTCTTCTCTGAATGCAATCAATGTGCAACTCGATAACGAATCATGAAGCATATAAATGGTGGCACATGCCTATATATCAAAGAGAGTGTCAAGAGTGTCCTAGGGTCGAGCTGGGATCGACTTTCAGGTTAAATGAGAACTCAACAGTCACAGTGCTTTGTCAGCCAGCATGTTTGGGTACCGAGTTCTGCCCCGCTCCCCAAAACGCACGCTGTCTCGTTGTGGATCTGATCCGACGAGCACAAGTCAAAACCAGTCAAATCACAAGCAAATGAAGTGACGAGTATGGGCTCCTGTAGTGGGTTCCTCGACCCCATGCTGCTTGGCAGAGCATGTGAGCCCAAACGAAAGAGAACCCAATGACTCTGACCTATCAACTGGAGCCTCATAGCCTATGTCTTGACCTTTACAGCTAAGGTTTTGGACCTTAACACAGGTAGTTGGAAGAATGATGGCCCACTTGTCCGCAAGTGTTTCACTGAATCACCCCGGCATCAATCCGCTTCAGGAGCAAAGCTTTCTTCTCCCCGGTGTCCTGTCGCAATGCTCGCTGTCGCGACTCGCCGGAGCGAGGACTCTGATGCCACGAAAAGCACAACACAAAGCCTCATGGGTTCATTTACTTCTGAGAAGGTAGGCTTGAATGGAAATCACTGAGGCCCAATAAATTTGAATGAATGGTCTTTGAATGGTGTTTGAACGGGATAGGCTTGAATAATGGGGCCTTATAAAGCTTGCTCAGGATGGCCTTCATTCAGGGCGGTCAGATCTGTAGGCTACACATACCCGGTGGCCAGGGCTCTGCCATGACCTTTGACTGACCAATGCCCGAAGAGTCAAGGAATGTCGTTTCTGAGATACCAAATGTTCTTTGATCCCGTCGAGGAAGGAATAGCTTTGTTTGCAACGGCGATACAGAATGGGAAAACGGTGGGCTTGGTCCTCGCCTCACTCTGGCGTAAAGTATACGTACCCAACAAATCTCCCAGAGCAGTGCAGCTTTGATGAATGTCTGCCGCAAGACTAGTTGATTTATGCTCCTTTTGAAGTGTTCACTAGACCCATGTGAGTAAAGTTTTAGTTTGCAACGATTGTCGTAGAAACCCTGACAATAGTTTCAAGTGCTGCATTGATTCTATGCCCAGTTGTATCACGCGAAGTGACAAGTACGGCCCTGCTTGAGTTGCGAGGATATACAAGTGCCACGGACCATGTCACAGCATAGTCAAAGATTTAGGGACCTACAAAATTGCATCGTACTTTAAAGAAACATGCAGGAACAAAATTGTAGAGGGGGGACCTCCCAAAATGTAACAAAATGTAAGCGGCCGCCTGTGCGTTCCCAGAGGGAACTGTGTTGAAATTCCAATTGATCCAAGCTGCATCGTGCACGTTGATCACCTGAAGCCGGGACATCTCCATTTGGTTCGGGGAGTTGCCTCGTGTCTTTCTTGAGGATTCTTGAGTTCGCTTCTTGTCTACCAGGGCCTTCAAGGGGTGGTTAATGGACACCCCTTAACGGCTAAGGGGCTAGAAATAGACAGCCCTTGGAGGGTCCTGGTATGATTGCTTCAACTTTTTCCAGGCTTGACCAGTGACATGGATGGGCCACGGCCAAATGAAACAAGCCAGGCTGAAAAAGAACGCTGTAGCATCATGGCTGGATGAGGAGCGATCCATATTCAGTTGTGGTGGTGTGGTGGCTACACAAACGCATCAATGCTGCCATATTTCAGCATATAATGCACAAGTAATAATTACACATATCACATCACATCATATCTACAAAAAAGGAGACCAATCCGACAGTTTTCCGGAGTTGGTTCAGTGGACACCCCACAGATCACTCTTTACGACTAGGCTATCACCAGTCCAACAGCCCCTCTGTGCTACAGCCTTCCCGGCCCGCCTTCTCAGGCCCTGAGAGGGTGAGCACTTTCCCGTGCATGCACTCGATCTGCGTCACCTGTCAAACGACCAGTGATGAATCAAACACCCTAGTAGATCGACCCATTCTATCCATGTGAATCCACTCCATTTTGAAAGCTATTGGGAAACGGGAAACCAATTCAATTCTATCTCTGTTGGGGGAAGTACCAGAAAAGAAACATGCCGTCTTTCACTGACCCCGAGATTTGGGGGGGAACCTCTCGGAACTGGGTGAGTCTCCGAGAATGGTGTCGGGAAAACCCAAACCCCACCGGCGGTCAGGACATCCATGCGGTTTCAGCTTCACGAGATTCTTCGAACCAACGTCCACGTCGAAGTGATGCTATGGACCCCTTGGAAGACCCTTTTCCTGCAAGAAATGGGGCATGTTGCTCTGAAAAGACATCAAGCTGAATCTTGGAAAACGGCTATACTTTCATTTGAGGCTTTGAGGAGAAAGGCTTGATCATGTTAATCCTCTACTGCCATGTCCACCTCGTAGGCGTGTGGCGTGAGCACTTTGAGCTTAGCACCACAAGCCTGGCTTCGTGACGCGGCACAGCACCGCATATGCACAGAAAACGTGGGGCACGTGCGAGGACGTTGGGTGTGGAAGATGTTAAAACATCAGTTGCAGTCAAAGAAAAAGTGAAATGTGTGAGATCATGCAAACACCCAGAACAGTGGTCAAATGTGAGATCGGGAAACAACATGCATGAATCAGTCGCTCTTTCTGAAATCATATTAAGAATCCATAAGAATCCTTAGCACATTTCTGGGTGTCCTTTGATTTGACCACCCCATGCGGGTCACCAAAGACAAACTGCGGGTATATACAAGTCGGATACAAGTCTCCTGGGCAGGTCATGTCTTTTTACGCAGCAACATGTGCTCGATGTGCTTTCGCGCCCCCTCAAAGTGTCAGCCCCTCCCCACTGGAAAACTCACTGATCTGCCCATGCACATCCTTCCCTTCCACGGCGGTGCGCACCGCGTTGATACAGTTGATGTTGCCATCCTCGCTGCCGACGAAGATCCGACGCTCCTTGAGACCGAAGGTGATGGCCTCAGCCGGTGGCTGAACGGCCCAGATGCTCAATGTACGTACCCTAAGTAACCGATAAGTACCGGCCGGAGCCTCACATGGAGGGGTATGGGGTCTCAAGTCCCGTGTTTCTTTTGGACCAGATCGGCTTGTGAACGAAGCCTTCTTTAGTGAAAATGCATAGATCATGATCATCAACAGTTGCTTTGTTTGTTGATGTTGTATGCATGATTTCATCATATGTTACCGGAATTTGGGTTCACTTAGCAATTTCGATGATGGTCTTGGCGATGGTATTGAACATACTTATGATGGCGATAACGATTGGCTCACAAAGTGTGGGCAACAGTCAGTTTAGCTTTATATACTTATGCGGGGGGGCGGCCTTGCAACTTGTGCATACAAAACAGTGAACCTGGAACAGCATTGATCATCGTTGATCCTGAAGGGTGTCTGAATCATGATGGAGGAGTCCATCCTTTGACTATCAGCAGCCAGAGAATACATGTGGAACTTAGGGACGAAAGCCGTGGCTCGTGCGAAAGCCGTGCTCCCAATTCCGCACCAAACATCGCCTTCCCTTTTGTCTTGTGGTATTGCAGGTCTTCGCCACCCAACAGCCAAGGCAAAGGCAAACATGTCCAGTGTTGGATTTGGACACATAAAAATGCACCGTGCTTATGATATTCAGGATCCCAGGTCGTGTCGGGGCTTCCCTACAATGTCCACTGTGTCATTGACACGGAAACTTCAACTCCGCAAAACTGGAGCCATTACTTGGTGTCCTAAGGACCCAAACAACATGGAGGTAATTGATGTCAGGTCTATAGCGTCTTTTTTCTGACCGTGTCCTAAAACATGGGGAAGCTTCATGAAGGTTCTCTCTCACCTGGAATCTGTCAGGGGACTCCATTCAGTTTTTAATGTTGGATTTGGTTTCCTCTTTTCTCTGCATCCTCCTTTCATCCCACCATCTCGTCCCAGTCCACGTGACAGTGATGTTGGACTCGATCACATTGTCATGGATCTGCAAGCGCAGCCCCGTGAGCGCCTCGTCTCGTGAGCCCACCGAGCAACAGCGGGTCCGAGACTCTGGTCCAAAGTCCAAAGCGCAGCCATGGCAGCAGTTTTGGGAACTGGCACACATTCCTGAATAAGGGGGGTCGACATTGAAGCCTCTTCTTGGCCTCGAAATGTCACTACGTTTCTCTATAGGATTCCCGCTCCTCCACCTCTGAGTTCGAGCGGTGGCAAGTTCAATGTTCAATCATGTTCATTCGGTTCTCATCCCTTCGTTGAGCAAACACTTCCAGGTCAAAGCCGACAAAAAAGAGCCCGTTGCCCTCCGTGAGGCGATTCGTTTCAGGAGAAAGCCAACATGGACAAGCCATGTGGGAA